AATATTGCAAAATCATTGTGTCATACGAAACACTTGATATTATGTATTCACATAAGTCAGATTTCGTTGATTTTGTGCAGCTTCTTTCCCTGATACTCTAACCAAGTTTTTAATAAAGCAAACAAATAATTCTAGATGATTTTTATTTGGTTTTCAAAAATTTTCTGTCCTTTATTTTACATAAATATTTTTGCATGAAAAACGTATTATGTGTTATATTTAAGCTTATTCGAAATGCTGTTTGTGCTGTAATGGCTACATTGGTCAGATAAAGAGTGGGAGTTTGTTTATGTAAGCAAAATGTGTGATTTTAAGTCAAAGAATAATTATACATATAAAACCATACTTATTTACAAATACAGATATCTTCAAGAGAAAAAAAAACTTTGTTATAACGATTAAAATGAGGGGACGACTTTTTTTCATTGTCACGCAACGACGTTGTTGTGTTAACTACATGAGTTTAATACATAAATATTACATGGAACCCAAATTTTATTGACTTGAAACATAGATTTATATATATGTTTGAGGTATCATAATCTGTAGTTTTACCTCTACGAACGTGAGACAACGAACAGTCGATTTTCAATAAAAGAAATGTACAGGGTATGGAAGTATGAAAGTTGTAATGTTAAAATATCATATTGTTACGACAGCGGAGGTCACGTGACGCTAGTAACACGTCATGCGCTTCTAGAACGTTCATGTCCCTTCCTGAAGTCTCGAGAGGTTACTAGATATGTGGTATTCTTGTATATATAAGACCGGTAAAAAGTGATGGATTATTTCACCAAGTGGCCTGAGGCATATGCAATACCAAATCAGGAAGCTACAACTATAGCTTCGGCTGTTAGTGATTTCTTCTTCAGATTTGGTATGCCATATGAACTGCATTCAGATCAAGGCCGTAACTTCGAATCAGCTGTGTTCCAAGAATGCTTCAAGTTGTTTGACATCCGAAAGATCAGGACAACGCCACTTCACCCACAGTCCGATGGGATGGTAGAAAAGTACAACTGGACACAGGATGACTGGGATGTGTTACTCCCTCCACTGTTGATGGATGAAACTACTGGATACACTCCAGCAAAGTTGATCTTTGGTCAGGAACTTCGGTTGCCAGGGGATCTGTTAACAGGACGCCCACCTCATGAAGAGTTGCCTGAGAATGTGTCGGAGTTTGTGAAAGTGTTATCGGAAAGGATGGATGATATTCACCATCAAGTGCGTTCAAACTTGAAAACGTCTGCTGATTCGATGAAGTTATCTTATGATAAAAGATATATTGAAGTCAGCTTTGTACCAGGAGACAAGGTGTGGTTGTATAATCCCAGGAAGACCAAAGGGAAGTCTCCTAAGTTGTCTTCTCCATGGGAAGGCCCATATGACATAGTGGATCGTGTCTCAGACGTGACTTTCTGGATAAAATGTGGTCGGCGAGGTAAGCCAAAAGTGGTGCATGCCAACAGGCTTTGGCGTTATCACGGTCCAGGACATTTCAGTTAGGGTGTTGTGAACAACGGAACAAATGATGCTGCTGAAGACGTGTCACCTGAAAAAGCCACTGTCGAAGAAGAAACTCTACTAGGATTTGAGAAGGGAACCGGTGAAGCCCTTGATGAAGTTACTACCACTGATGTGACTGTTACCGATGATAGTACATTTCCTGATGAAGCAGATGAACCCCACATGAAGCAGAAGCCAACGAGACGAAGACTAGTACGGAAGAAGATACGTCCCGTAAAATTAAGAGACTTTGTAGAATTGTAATTTTGAGTTTGTAAATTCTGTACATTTAATTAAGTTATTGTTAATTGTTTATTGGTTTAATGTAAGTGGCTATTATTCGGGACGAACAATACTAAGGAAAGGACAGTTTTACGATTGCGGGGGTCACGTGACGCTAGTAACACGTCATATTCTCGAACGTTCACGTCCCTTTCTGAAGCCTCGAGT